AGAAGACAGGAAATGGGGACACCAAGAAAGAGGAGGAAATCCAGTCTTTGCCCCCTGCTAACTTTATATTTGTGACATGACCAATAGACGGATACATCATAGAACACGGGGTGGGAATAGAGTATAAAAGGGTGGTCCAAAGGCAAATCAACAAAGAAACGGATCTTTCCATTTCCAAAGTCAAAAGAGTGAGCTTTGATTGTGCTCCATATCCAGTATTCCTTGACGTGTGTGTGTGTGTGTGTGTGTGTGTGTGTGTAGTCACTGGCTGCACAGCGTTCCAAGTTAATGAGGCAGCAAACCTTTGTTGTTCCTGTCCTGTTGTTGTTGTTGTTGTTAAATAGAATGCCCCTCCCCTCACAAATCCAAAACCACACAGCAACTGTTAGTGTTCGGTGACCTTTCCCACCAACTGTCTTTGGGGCTTCGAAATTGATTTTCCTCATCTCCGTCTCTGATAATCTGTCTTTGAGTGTGCCTCTCTAGTTCATCGCCAGAGTGAAAACAGTGGTACAGATAGCTGAAGAACTGTAGGCAGGCATCACGCAGGGCATCATTAGACATGAGAGGGAAATCAGTCAGCTCCGGTGTGCTCTGTGTTAAAAAGTGGCCGCTGCTGCTTTATTACTAAATACAATGGGGGCATCCTCACAGGAGTCAACTCTTTTTCTTTTTCTTTCTTTCTTTTTTTTTTGTCATTCCCAAATATGGTTTGAGGAGTTAAAAAAAAAATTCAGTCTTTATTCTACAAACCTCATGGGGAAGCCAGGTCAAAACATATGCTTTTTTATAGTAATCTCTGCTGAATTTTTTACATATGAGCGTATGGTCTGGCAAGGAACTGTAGGACTGATGACACAGACATGAGCCTCATGGGGAATTAGGTGACAAGATCGTTTTCCCCTATGGAAAGTCATTATGCATGCTTCATGTAGCTGAATTTCAATATTCATGAAGTATTTTTGGAGTTCTAAACATAAAGGAAGCGCTATATTGAATCTTAAGAAAAGTTTTTTTTTTAAGTGGTGGGGGCAGGGCAGGGCTTAAAGACCTGCATTGATGATAGCATATTCCTCTTTTATATGTTGGCATTGGTAAAGGTATTTTGCCTTTCAAAAGATAGCTTTCCAACCTCAAAACTAGCCCGACTCTACCAGATACGAAACACATGTCTTATGATATACCAAACATATAGACATAGACCTTTCCTTCTGGGCCTAAGAACCTGTACATATATGCTTTACCACCTCTGTCCTGAAGTAGTTAGTTGTTATACAAATAATAATCTTGATTCTTCCCTTACATATTGGAAAGGTATCAGAATATCCTGAACGCCATTATTTTAAAACGTTAGACACTGGTGAGGTGCTGCTCCGTCAGTACTGTCTACATGTGGGTATTAATTATGTGCCATGGTGCCCATGTTCTAATCTGAATCAACTGATAAGAGTAGTCTTTTAGATAGAAGAAGTGTCTCACTTATGGGAATAAAAGTAACTGACTTTCCCCCGCCCCAGTTAAAATAATGCTTTCTCTTGTAATAGCAAAAGTGGATTATACATTTAATAGACTAGAAACTCTTCTGAGGACACGGATTTTTTAGTTCGACTAATATTGATCAATAATGTTGCTGAGGGTTGAACAGCACTTTGTGTCCTTTTCGGCACTTGCTGTTCCACTGAAGTGAATCCCTGGGACCTGTGTTTGCGTTCTTAACAATATATCAATTTATCAATATAACAATATATCAAAGTTGCATTTTTTATCTAAAGAAAACAATCTCATGGCAATTTAAACCTAGAATTTGAAAGCAGTCCTTGCCAGAATTACCAGTCACAGTGCATACTCATTGCTCAGGCTTGCAAATTTAAACAGAAACGTCTAATCTGAAGTCAGAATCTTGTAAACTCATATCATCATGTTTATAGATATTCACGTTTCTAGTGTCTGGTATGAAGGGCTGAGACCATGATCTTGAAAGTCACACAGACTCAGGTTCAAATCCCATCTGTCATTAAGAAATTATCCAGGCCACTTCATATCAGTCATTGTTTTGTTTCTGTGACAAAAGACTTGAGGAGCGAATGGTTCATTGGAGCTTGTGTTAGTCTGCCATAGCCTGCTCCATTGTGCTTAGGTTTGTGGCAAAGCAGGAATATGATGCTAGGGAGGAAGAAGAAGAGTGAAGCATCTACCTCGTTGTACTCAAGAAAGGGAGAGGAGAGATGCAGGAAGAGACCTGAGAGGGGAAGATATGAGAGGAGGAGGGATGGAGGGAGAGATAGATGAGAGGGGGGGAGGATAGATAGATAGGTAGATAGGTAGATAGATAGATAGATAGATAGATAGATAGATAGATAGATAGACAGACAGACAGACAGGAAGGATGAATATGTGGAACAAAGTAGCCTTTCTAGGGCATTACCTCAGTGACATAAGCCTTCAAGAAGGCTTCACCTCCCAGTGTCCACCACCTGCCAAAGATGCCATTGCATCCTGACTCCATCACTGGATTGGAACACTGACGAGTTTAGTAATCACATGTCTGAGTGAATTCCTCCCACTATAACCAGCAGTACTGGTAACTTTCCTAGAGACTGCCAACTCCTTAAATATGTCTTCATCTTTTCTTTTCTAGGCAGTAATTCACCTAAAATCATGAGTTTGTTCCCTCCTTTCTCCAACACTCACATGGCACTTACTATATTTGAAGTATTTTATAGTCCTTTACAGTTAATTTAAATCTCATAACTCCTATGACATAAATAAATACAGAGAGAGGTTAAAGAACTTTTCCAAAGACATGTACCCAGAGACTAGGAAAGATTTTAAACGTTAGCAGTCTAACTTCCCAGGTCTCTGCTATGAAGTCCTTAACCTGTTTGATATATTTAGCCTTTTTAAAATACACAATAAGTGTGTGAGTGTTAAAATGGAAAATACTTAGCTATGACCCCATAAACGCATCTTGCATAAAGCCTATACCATATTATGGGAGAGAATGAAAGGACAGTTTTAACCTCTTGAATATAAAAAATTATAGCCTGCTGGCTGCACTGGACACCTTAGAATAGGATGTAATAATAGCTCATGCTAGGACTTGGTTCTGAACAGTATTATCATGCTAAATGAAAGCCATGAGACACAAAGTGTTTTGAAATGTGAACGCCTTTTTAGTGTTAACAAGGATCTGAGAGAACGTGAAGCTGAGAGAGTCGTGAGGTAAGAAGCAGATGTGGGATGAGTCGGAGGGGAGGGTGCAAGACTAATGTCATCAAATATATTGTATGCAAAGATTAATAAACTAGGAAAATTTAAAAAATGGGGACCCATGGCTCCAGCCGCATATGTAGCAGAGGATAGCCCTGTCTGACATCAGTGGGAAGGGAGGCCCTTCATCCTGTGGAGGTTTGATGCCCCAGTGTAGGGGGATGCTGGAGCGGTGGGACAGGAGTGGGTGAGTGGGGGAGCACCCTCATAGAGGCAAAGGGGAGGAGGGAGAGGGCGGGTGGGATGGGGTGGTTGTGGAACGGGGAAGTGGGATATCATTTGAGACGTAAACGAATGGAATGATTAATAAAAAAAAAAATTTCTTTTTAAAGAATCTTAGTTACCTGTCCCTAAGATTTTACTTGGTATTTTTGTTATGCATTCCTTAACTTGCTGCCTAAACACGTTTAAGCTGCATTTCTGAGGCAGTTCGCCCCAGTGTCCATAGCTCAGCCTTCAGTGAACCTGTGTCATCCACAACCTGCCTCACTGACCTCTTCGTTGATTTTGGTTTGGTTTTAAAACATGGTCTGGGAGTCTCTCCCTCCACCAGTCTCCACAAGCTTTCCCTTGCTGATTACATTCGACACACGCTAAAATTAAAATGGTTGACAAGGACCTGAGCAGCTGGCCTGCCAGGCTTAAGAGTCCTTAGCAGTAAGGGAGCAGGCTAGGAGGAGAGCACACCCATGGCTATCTAGAAAGTCAGTAAGGAGTCAGAACACCAGCAGGACATGGGTACATGCATGTACATTCATGCACATGAGCACATATTCTCCTGTAATGTGCATACAAGCACAGCTATGAAGGATGACCAATTTTATAATGTGAAGTATGAGGAACTACTCAGAAGGCCATTCATCCATTGTGCTGCCTGGTTCTCACCTTCACTGTGTGGGTCCCACAGATGGTCCAGCATGCTTTTGTCCAGGAGACAGTGTGACTGACATAAGTCCCCCATCTCTCAAGAGGTCTACTTGAGACCATAGGGATTGTTTGGGCGCGGACAGCCTGCTATATACCATCAAAATCATTCTCAGGTCACTTTTAGGATGTCATTCTTAAATTGAAACATTGCCTTAATTTTAACTGTTAGAAGCATATGAGGGTCACTGAGATGGATCATCAGGCAACAATGCTTGCTGTCAAGTTTCACAACCTGCATTACATCCTTGGGACCCACAAAGAGAAAGGCAAGAACTGACTTGCACAAGTTGTCTTCAATACACACACACATACACACACTCAGATAGATAGATAGATAGATAGATAGATAGATAGATAGATAGATAGATAGATAGATGATAGGTAGATAGATGTTTTTAAAAATACATGAAGCGGGGGCTTGGGATGTAGTTCATCTGGTAGAGCACTTGTCTAATGGGTTTAATGCCCTGTATCCCATAAACCAGAGGTGGAATGTGCCAGCACACACTGCAGCCCAACACTCAAGAGGTAGAGCTGGAAGATCGGAAATTCAATATCATGTTCAGTTATATAGTGAGTTCAAAACCAGCCTGAGTTACATGAGACCTTATCTCAAAACAAAATATATGAGGCGAATGAGAAGGAGGAAGGGGAGGTTAGGAAAGATGGAGGGAAGGAGGGAAGGAGGGAGGGATAGAGAAACAGAGAGAGAGAGAGAGAGAGAGCGCTAGTCCCTGTGTGTCCATTTTAACATATTCCTATCTTAACTTGCCCCGTATCTTACGATGATATTCTTTCCACAGGCATTTCCTATTCAAAACAGGGACAGGGACGACGCCACTGTTCAGTACGGCAACCCCGGGATACACAATGGCATCTGGCTCTGTTTATTCTCCGCCTACCCGGCCACTTCCTAGAAACACCCTATCAAGAAGTGCTTTTAAATTCAAGAAGTCTTCAAAGTACTGCAGCTGGAGATGCACCGCACTGTGTGCTGTAGGGGTCTCGGTGCTCCTGGCCATACTCCTCTCCTATTTTATAGGTAAGAACAAGCTTTTAAGCTGTTTGGCCTGTAAACTGATGCATTCTGCCATTCCGTTAGTTTTGTTTGCTCTAGAATATATTGAGTATTATTTTGTAAAGGCAGTGTTGAAACAGATTAGAAGTCATGAATTTCTTATGTAATCTCAGTAGATGTGATAAGTAGGAAAACTAGCTTGGTAGGCAGGTCATTGCTATAAGGCGCTACGTGTATTCATGGACATGAATATGACTGTTTGTTATTGATGCCATCACTCATGAAACTCTGATGTCTAGGACATTTCCTACACAAAAAAAAAAAATCATTCATGGATGTGCAGGATTCAACACTGTAGGGCCCTCCTTCAGCTCATGCTCATTAGTTAGGGACTTTCTGCCATTAGGTGGCTTTTGGTGAACTCAGCTGTCTACATATAAAGTTCAACACTAAGGACCATTATCTCATATTCAGGAACACTGCAGAGAACTGAGCCTCATAAAGAAATGCGAGATGATGTAGCCATTCATATACGGGTGGATCTCGTCTCTTGTAGTGTATTGCTCGTGTTTCCCACTTAGTCATATACTGGATGCTGAGCGCTCCGCCTATATTTCTTTATGTTTAACTTTTTCATAATGTGTTTGAGCATCTATACTGCTGGCAATGGCTTTCTTAAATGTCAGAAAGACTCCATGGTATTTTGATCTGCTTCTAGGGAATAAGGGAAAGCCCTCCACATTGAAATGCTAATGGTATCCACTAAGATAAATCACAGGCTGTGTGGCTCATACACCAAGAGCAACAGCCAGTGATGCATCTCCAAGTTTACAAAGCAATTTGTGATGCCCCATGAAATTCTATCACGAAAGACGAGTATCCCAGAGCTCTCTATAGAATGCTATATGCTCTTGCAGCGGGCCTCCGCCAGTCCCGGCAATACACCTCGGATATAAATTATGTACTTGGGAATGTGAAGTAACCATTTGGAGTCTCTGTGGTTAATGGAAATGCAGAACTGTAGAGCATGAAGGAACGTGGGAGATAATTGAGTCAGGGATGGCAGCCGTGTGGCGTGTTACGGACCTGTTATTTCAAACTCTTAGACCATGGAGGACATCACTAATGATTCAAAGCTCGGTTTCAGTCTGAACATGGAGATACCCTCATTATCCTCATCAGGGTGCTCAGACAACACTCCGAGCAGTCACCACCCGTCACTCAGATGGAGGCAAGATGAAATCCACCCATCCGTCATTTTCTTTATCCACGTTTACCTCATTCTGCTAACAGACCAGATACTACATCATCACAACATAGCACCCCAGCGAGACCACACTATGTCTCTGATGCTCTCAGGGGAACGGGTAGCTTCAGTACTAAGAGGTCATTTCTAGTCATCAGTTAGAAAAGACCCTGGCCATTAAGAGAATCCTCTTTAGTTAGCTGTATAAATTATTTGTAGCTGTCAAAAGTGTGCTGTAGAAGAATTTGAAATGAATTTGAAATGTGTGAGTCTTAAGTGGAACGTGATCAATTACCCATATGTGTTTGTAGGGGATTTTTTTTTTTAAGACGTGGTACATGCCTCATGGATGCTGTTGCAGGGCTGGACTTGAGCGTTGGGATGTCTAGTTTGTATCTGTTCTGATTGGCAGGTGTCTAGCCTTGCGGTGGTTTGTCAGCTTGACTTGATTTCATCTTATTTTGGTAGTGTGACTGCCAGGGAAAGTTAGCATCTGGTGTGATGTTTCATGACTACTTGCATTCTTTTGAAAAGACCCATCAGTAAATTATAGTCCTATAATTATAATTATAGGACTTCCAAATTTAAAAAAAAAAAAGCTCTGTTTTTGCATTGGCAGGTTTATTATTTGGTCCCCCATTCCACTTTGTATCTTCTGGTACTATTAATACACATGTGTCCCTTTGCTTTTTCTTTACACGGAATAGCTGAAACACTATGTGTTCCTTTCAGCTCAATAAAGCTGTTTATAGCACATGTGTTTTGATTGCATTAAGGTCATGGGAAATAAGGCAATAAATGCCAATGTTCTCTAGCAAAAAAATAACTCCAGTAATCAGAAAGTCTGCTTAGAATTCTCATTGACTTTCCTGTGTCCAAATGACTGTCACACTCACAAGACTGATTTTAGATCAGTTAAAGCATTTTTTTATTCCTTCGTCAGTTTGTGTGATAAATCTTGTTTTGATTAAAGTTGTTGCCTTCACCCTTGAAAAGAGAATAGGCCACTTGTCTCAGGAGGGTTGTCCTTGGCTAGTTAGTGTGCCTGTAAAGCAGGGATGGGTGGAGTGTGTGTGGGGCGGGGGGAGTGATGTCCACCCTCATGCTAGATCGTATGCTAGTCCCATAGCACATAGGCATCACTAACAAGACAGTTTCATCCTTGGATCTACTTCAGAACGTTCATATAACATGACACCACCCTTAGACCTTGGTTTTTCATCTCTCGGGTTCATTATTTATAGGAAGCAAAAGCTTAAGAAATGAGATTTTTATAAAGCTGAAGAAAGGATTCCAAAATATTTAAAAATGTTTTTCATACCTTCCAGTATGACAATGAAAGGTTTGGAGCATGAGTCTCTCTGTACCCTGCCTCAGTCCTGAGGTGAAGACCCAGGAGGGCTGAGGTGGATAACTTCTGAAGACTAGGGGATAGAGGGAGGAACACACAGACTTTGGTGTTTGTTTTTACTTGTTTCTGTGAAAAATTCAAAGAACACAGAAAGACCTGTGTAGAAGGTGAAAATTAATTGCAATCACAGGACAGCACTCTCAGCGGCTAGACAGGTAAAAGTGCTCACGGCTGAGCCCCGAAGTCCGTTTGATCTCTAGAAACACAGGGTGGAAGGAGAGACCCTAGGTCGCTCAAGTTGTCCCTTGCAGCTATTTTTCCATTCGTGTGCAGCTTGAGATTCATACCTGCGTTTATTTTGACCAGTCTTTCCTTGTTCAGTCACTAGATACTATCACTGCAATTTTATTTTTAATTAACCAGTCCCCATAACACACGGTTCCATGCATGTGACATGCATGCGGTTCCATGCATGTGACAATGGATTTGCGTGTCCGTGTCACTTGGTCAGACTTCTTCCCCAGCAGAAATTCTTTGAAGGAAAGGTGCCACAGGAAAGGAGGTGCTGTAGTGGGCGGTGGTGGCGCACGCCTTTAATCCCAGCACTTGGGAGGCAGAGGCAGGTGGATTTCTGAGTTCGAGGCCAGCCTGGTCTACAGAGTGAGTTCCAGGATAGCCAGGGCTGTACAGAGAAACCCTGTCTCGAAAAAACAAAAACAAAAACAAAAGGAAAGGAGGTGCACTTTGAACTTTGTAAGCCATTTTAATGTCACTGCCCATTTACAGAAGCGCCTATGTCCTGTTGTCTCTGTGTTTTATCATTGTATTAATCGTTGCCACTCTCTTACATTTAACATTTTTTTGTTCTGATGTATTACTGCTTATATCTTTTAGTGTTTATTAGTCATTTGAATTTCTTATTTCAGAAGCAGGCATATTTTCCTCCGTTTTTTTCTCATTGGATATTTTCCTCTGCATTTTTTACACGTGTGTATTTTTAATGTGTGGGGGCGTGGCACCCACATACCACAGCATGTGGATGGCGGTCAGTTCTGATTATGTGTGTTTCGGGGTTGGCAACAAGCACCCTCACCCACTGAGTCATCTCACTGACCCTCTAATCTGTGTGCGTGTGCGTGCGTGTGCGTGCGTGTGCATGCGTGCCTGCGTGCGTGCCTGCGTGGGTGCGTGCGTGCATGTGTGTATGTGCTCATTGGTTGTGTGTGTTGGGGTGGGACATTGTGTGTATGCTCGAGTGTGTGCACACGCACAAGTGAGCACTCATGCCCTTTGAAGGGTGGTTAGGGACCATCTTGCTGTAAGTTCTACGAAACTAACTGGAGTGATTCTGGGTCTGTAAAGTAGGCTGGCCTTAAACTCACAGTAATCCCTGTGTTTCTGCCTCCTGAATATTGAGATTACAGGAGTGGTCCACCACACCTGACTTTTCTGTTTTGTTTTGCTTTGTTTTTTAACCTGAAGCAGAATTTATTAAAAATATGAATATTTTGCCTTCTATATTAAATATTTTATATTATTAACTTGATCAAATTCATTTTTGCCACACATCATACAGACTTGTTAAACAGATATATCAGTGTTCCTTACAACTTAGAGCTTCCACACCATACCTGTAAAATCTAAGTGGCATTTTAAAACTACTTTTAAATTTATTCAGAAACTTCATGAGTTTTGGTGCTACGCAGAGATCCAGGGCCTCACGCATGCCAGTCACGTGCGCGACCAGCGACCTGTAAGCATTCTACTCATGACCTACAGCCTAGTTCCTTTGTAGCCATTTTAAATCAGTGTTTCCTGTATCCTCTGGTAGATATTAAGGGTGCAAGTTGGCTCTTCATTCTAGAAACTCGGACTCAATGTCTCAGGCTGCATGTAAGAAACATTCTTTAATATTACGTGCTTTCAGCATACTTGATAGAGAAAATACCCAAAAAGCAAACCGGGAAAATACCTAGTTTTAGCTAAAATACTGAAACAAATGCTTTATGTAGCCAGTTCTTTTTTTTTTTATTAGCCAGTGGGAAAGTTATATATGTACACATACATGGTCACATGTTACATGTATGTGTTATGTACATGTGGGGTCCAGGTGTCATCATCTTTAGTTTTGAGACAGGGTCTCTCTTTTTTTGTTGTTGTTACTCTTTCACAACAGATTTTACTGGTCGAGGAGCAGAGCACACAGACATTCCAATTCTGATCACATGTACCCAAAAAGAGCCATATATTGTGCTCACGTACCCAAACTCTGAAGAGTCCCATTGTGTTCATGTATGCAAATGAAGAGCTACACATTGTTTTCCTTTGAACTTATTCCAGTGATGTCCCAGCCTCAAACTTGGCAAGTTTCCCTAAGACCTCTCATACCAACCAAATGCTCAGCATCCTCAGTTCCACCAAGTCAAT